ACTCGCACTCGGAGGTGCCGCTAGTGTTGGTGCCCTCGGATGGCAGCGCCGGGCACAGCTTGAGCCGCTTGCAGGAGGGCTGGACGCGGTACTTGAGTGCCAGGGGACCACTCTGGGGACACGGGGTACGACTGGCAGTGCGCGGGGACACCGTGGAGACACTGGCACTGCCACCCCCCATTCCCTGGGGACACCGTGGGGACACCAGCACTGCCACCGCCGATGCCCTGGGAACGCTTGCATTGCCACCAATTCCCCCCACTCTGGGATTTGTTATGGGAAAAGCTCCCCCGGGACCAGTTTTCCCACTTTTCCTCTAGGACAGATTTTTCCAGGACAGGTTCCCTGTTTTATCCCCCCCAAACCAGATTTTCCCAGTTTTTCCAGTCTAGATATTCCCAGTTTCCCCAGTACAGGTTTTCCCAGTATTCCCAGCACAGCTTTTCCTGGTTTTCCCAGTTTCCCCGTTTACTCACCCTCCTCCAGGGGTAGATATAGGCGATGTCCATCAGGGTGTAATATTCCTTCAGGGGCTCATCCTCATACAGCACCTCCACCTGGAGACAGGAAAGGATGGATCCAAACCCCAGGAAAAACTCTAAGAAAGGATGGATCCAGACCCTGGGAAAGGAGGGATCCAAATCCCCAGAAATTAGGGATCCAAACCCAGGGAAAGGAAAGATCCAGATTCAGGGAAAGGATGGATCTGGCCACGGGAAAAAGAAGACTCCAGGCCCTGGGAAAGGACAGCCCAGTAGGAATATTTGGGACAAGCAGGAATCAGCAGTGGAGGCAACACTGAGGAGACAAAACGGCCCCTCTGAGCTGAGCTGAGCATGGCAAAATCCAGGCAATGCCCCCCGAGCATTCCCGAGCACTCCAAAGCATTCCCGAGCACTCCCAAGCATTCCTGAGCATTCCCGACCATTCCCAAACATTCCCAAACATTCAGAAGCATTCCCAAACATTCCTGATAATTTCTGAACATTCCTGACCATTCCCGACCATTCCGGAAAGTTCTTGACCATTTGCGGCCATTCCCAAACACACATTCCAGAACGCTTCTGAGTGTTCCTGAACATTCCTGACTATTCCGGAAGGTTCTGGAGTGCTGCTCACCCGGTACTTGCTGGGCACGTCCATCTTGTTGCGCAGGAACTTGGCCAGGTGCAGCACAGTCATGGNTGGGATGGGATGGGATGGGATGGGATGGGATGGGATGGGATGGGATGGGATGGGATGGGATGGGATGGGATGGGATGGGATGGGATGGGATGGTCACAGTGGCCTCGGGGGAGCATCCGCCCAGCCCCAAACCCCTCCTTGACGCCGTTCCCGTTTGTCCGCAGCCCTTCTGTGACGGTTCCCACAAGAAGGAGGCCCCGGGGCTGTCCTCGCTGCTCTTCACCCCCACCCAAACCGGCCCCGCGCTGCTCTGCGGCTGCAAACGCACCCGGAGCCCCCCGTACTGCGACGGCTCCCACCGGGAGGACGCGGTGCTGCCCCCCCGCTCCTGAGCGGGGCTCGGCAGCACCGGCAGCACCGGGATCCCCATCCCGACCTCGTCACGGCCGCACGAGGGGAAGGAGAGGCTCCAAACTCCAAGGAAATCCTGATTCTGGATCGCCGGGAGCCGTCCCGGACCCCAAATCAGCCCCTGGACAGTGGGATTGGAGGGAGGGGCCTGGAGGTGTGAGAGCCCTGGCGTGGGGCACCTCTGGGGTTTGGGATGGGGAAACCTGTGGGATTTGGGATGCAGAGGCCAATGGGATTTGGGCAGGAGAAGCCTGTGGGGTTTGAGATGAAGGGACCTGCAGGACGTAGGGTTTGGCAGGAGGCTCTGTGGGATTTGGGCTCTGTGGGATCTGTGGGATTTGGAATGGAGACACCAATGGGATTTGGCAGGAGGCTCTGTGCGGTTTGGCAGGAGGCTCTGTGGGATCTTTCAGGAGGCTCTGGGCAGCTGCCCCTTTGGTGTTTGTTCATTTCCAAAGCCAGTTTGCAAAGGTTGAACCGAAGACAAGCCCTGGAGAACAGGATTATTCCCAGGGATTGGGATCGTTCCCGGAGATTGGGATCATCACTAGGACAATAAACGTGACCTGAACACACCGAGCAGTCTGGGATGTACTGAGAGGGAAACCCGACACCAAAACGCCCCCTAACCCAAACCCAAATCATGGCCCTGCCCAACCCGGGCAGTGTCCCCGGGCCGGGCAGTGGAATGGCTGAATTCCACACAGGAATTGTTTAATTTCACAGAGGAATTGATGAATTCCATGGAAGAATTGTTGAATTCCACAGAGGAATTGTTGAATTCCCTGCAGGAATTGTTGAACTAGACACAGGAATTGTTGAATTTCGCAGAGAAATTTTTTAATTCCACACAGGAATTGCTTCATTCCCTGCGGGAATTTGCTCCCTTCCCATGCTCGCCCCTCTCTGGAGCCTCCTGGCCAAAGGCGCTGAAACTGGATTTTTATTTTTATTTTCTTTTATTACAAACGCACCACGAGGGCAGGAGGAGAGGCTGAGAAAGGTGATATACAAAAAAAAAAAAAACCAAAAAACACCACAACAAGAAACAAAAACAACCAAAAAACCCAACAAAACAAAAACAAAATAAAAAAAAAAAAAAGAAAATTGATATCATGGGGAACAGGGAGCAGCTCCATCCCAACCTTTGGGTGCCCCCAAATTTTCCTGGAGCTGTCAGGACTTTGGGAAGAGAAAATAATCCAGGGGATTTGTGCTGCCACCACCAAGCTGGAGGAAAATATCCCCAAAACCCCCGAATTTACTGTGCAGAAGGGCAGAGCCCACAGGGAAAGCAAAGAAATCCCCCCAAAAATACCCAGGATGAGATCTGGGAACAGCTGGAGCTACTGGATCTGGGAGCTCCAAGGTGGGGTGTGAAAGCCCATGAAAAAAACAAAAAAACCCCCAAAAGTGGGAATTAGAACCCTGCAGCAGAGTCCAGGGAGGCTGGGGGGGTGGTTGGGATTTTTGGGGTTTTGGGTTCTGTGCTTGGCCCTCACCTGTGCAGCCATGGCCCCGGTGGAGAGGGAGGAGGAGGAGAGGGAAAAACCTCTGGGAAAAGTGGGAATGTGGGAATGGAGGAACATGGGAATGTGGGAATTCAGGAATTTGGGAATGTTGGAATTTGAGAGTGTGGCAGCTCCCAGCTCCTGGGGTGGGATGAGGGAGGGGCCTGTAGCTTCCACAAGTCAAACCCAAATGTTAAAGCCCCACAAAAAACCCCACAAAACCAAACAAAAAAACCAAACAAAATCAACCCAAAGCACATTTAAAAATACCTGCCGCCATTTCTGCATCTTCTCTACATTTTTAAATTAGAAAATAATTCTGTAGAACTCTGCTCTGTCCCTATGTACACACCCACATTAATAGAGGTCTGCAGGGGGTTTCAGGAATCCCTGGAAGGGTTTTAGGAATCCCAGGAGGATTTTTAGGAATCTCTGGGGGTTCTTTGCAGTTCCTGGAGGGTCTGCAGGAGTTCCAGGAAGATTTTTAGTAGTTCCAGGAGGATTTTTAGCAGCCCCTGCAGGGTTTTTCAGAGTCCCTGGAGGGGTTGTAGGAGTCCCTGGAGGATTTTCCAGAGTCCAGGAGGGTTTTCAGAGTCTCAGGAAGATTTTCCAGAGTCCCAGGAGGATTTTCAGAATCCCAGGATGATTTTCCAGAGTTCCAGGAGGGTTTCCAGCAGCGCCCAGAGGTTTTTAGCTCAGGGCCGAGCCCGCGCTGCCATTCAGGGCGGTTTTGCGGCCGCGGGC